TGATTTTGACATATTTTAAGTTAAACGCGAGCTGAAATTTAGAATAAGTCTAAAAGATTTCTAAACTGAGAAAAGCAACATTTAATGCAATATGATTTATAAATCCCTCCTAAAATGCCTTAATTCTATAAGACAAAGTGTATTCCAAAGAATTCAAGTTCTATTTGGAAGTTCTACTTTYTCATCGGTTATTGGAAAATGAAATTGCTTTCATATGATCAAAGACTTACCCTGATTGGTTTTCAGGTTAGATGAATCGATGAGCAATACACACGAGTATGAGAAAATAGCTTATAAGCATCAGATAATAGATCTTATCGTCTCATAAAAAAATACAAAGTTGTTTTTTTTTTCCTTCTTTTTTTGCATCGCTATAGCTGCAGAAAAGCTCCAGTTCTGTCGAGTATCGCTCATAAAACAGAGTAAATTCACTATATGTCTTCACTATATTTCGAAACGAAACTCAAATTCAAGTGTTTCAGTAAGATAATAATAATAATAATCAGTTTCCTTTTAGTTATAGCTTGTTAGCTTGCAATGCACAAACCTTGCCTCGAGCAGGTGCTGGAGTTATTACTGCCTTCTCCAAATCCATTTTCAAACAATAGSTATCACCCTCATCGTAATTTTCCCACGGAACTGAGAAATTCTCTTTTCTCGCCGGCAAAGTTTATTAAAAATAGATAACAATGGGGAGTAAAGATTTCATTTTTTCAGTGGTGAAGACAAGTGGACGTTCTGTGATATTCCGATATGATAGATATCGAGGACACAGTATTACTATGACTCTAAGAGTAACATGGCATGCCGATTGGGAAGTTCCTTAGGAAGTAATTGCACCCTAGCTGGGTGTACATGAGACATTTGTAGGACAAACTGAGGATGTAATACGCTGTTGATATCATGAACTTATGCTTTTATCAATGGCAATTATATAATGTCGAATCAACATTTGTAAAATKGTGACACTCTTCAGTCGTTATGCAAGAATACGAAGCAGTAGTTTTTGATATAAATAACCGTTCATGTCTGTAGATGCWTTAGAAGTACATCGTGTATAATAAGTATATACAATTATCACTTGTGATATATCGCATTGACGTTTATTAATTGACGTGTTCGTGTTCAGTACTCTTTTAAAGTAGGTTTTAATAAATGAACGACCTGTATACAACGCTATGCTCTTGAAAATTGTTTAGGAACTGAACTACGCCTCTTGTTTTAATATCATATTAGWAATGCATGCCCTACGCCATAGCAAATGGACTAGGAGCTGTTAAGTGGTTATCGTAGGATGAATATAGAGCGYTGCGGCTTTTGAAACCCATTGATTTCTTTTTGTCTTCTGTGAATAAGTTCTTAACTTATTAAATATTAAGTTTCTATAAAATGTTGTAGTATGAGGAAATGAGTTGTTTTTGATTAGGAAGTGAGAGAATTAAGGCCAACACTTTGAGCAAATAAGCAACCGWTCCGCTCTAAATTAGTTATGCTAACTTCACACTACTTCAGTGAAGAAAGATCACAGAGCAYATTCATGACAGCTTCGTTCTGCTGTTCTTATTATTTCGTAAAACGCGCCAATTGATTACCCAAAGATGTATCGTAACCACTAAATTACTTTCTGGTGTTTCTTYTAATGAGTAACGGCCTAAAAAGGTTTTCTGATGCGCTTAGTAAACAAGGACAGCTGCAAGAAAAGATAATTACAACAAATACATTGGATCTGACGCTGGTTTGTCAGAATTTTCAACRCCAGGCACGCATGCCAAAGTTTTCATTGTTATTTAGATATTAAACGGCTATTAGAAAGTCATTTATAGCGGGTAGCGTTCTCACAACGCCTACTAGCCGAGGCAAAAGCTCTTCCTCTATCTATAAAAGCCGTCGTCCAAGCTAGCACTTTTCATTGAGAACAAGATCTTTTGGAAGTCACTTCCTTTAATCAGCCTCTACTCTCTCCAAAATGAACACTGTCATCTACGTGGCTTTTTTAGCTCTTCTTTTCTTATCAGTGTTATCAGATGCCGAGGCCAAACCCAGATGCCGGCCTGGRTCYATGTTTTGTTTCGGAAAAAGAAAAGATAAAAATCCAAAGGTAAGTTGATTTTKTTTTWYWYTTTWWARRRRAWWYTYTTKWKWTWKA